AGAGAGAGAGGAGAGAGAAGCGCAACACAGCGTCGGCCCAGGGACACATCACGCACCGTTAAGGGGTCGGGGACGAGATGTGGCCGCGGGTACTCCGCACGATGAGTCGGCTGCAAGCTCTCCGCGTCGTTTAACACCATTCATAGCCATCGTCAGAACGCAAATTTTGCATTATCTGACCAAAAACATGAATGTTTTTTGTTTTTTGTTCATTTGCGATGAATAGTCAAGTAACAAATAATGCATATTAGTATAGTTATGTTGGTTCAATGAACATTACGTATATCACCACAAAATAAAGCACTAAGCCCTTGACGATTCCAAGCCAGATGTATCCTCGTCGGCATTCCTCTTGGCGTATTAGTGCTAACTTTGCTTTCTACTTTGAATGGTGTACACCAAGCAGGCCAAAAAGCCTTGTTTTAAATGCTCCGCATGTTAAAACTGTTGTACCAATTGCGATAGGAATGCAGTGTCCCCTGGCCGCTCATTGTTTTGTTCGTGTTCGCAGCCAGCTGTCCGCTGTCACGGAGCCAATCAGCACGGACTGCCAGTTAGTTAGTCCGTCGTCACCAGCAAAGCACCAGTAGACTCATCCATCATGTATTCCTCAGCAAGCTGATACGAGTTGACATCACATGAAGCAGAGGCTCGAATGTGCGCAGAAACGCGTCATTTCCACGGAGGGATTGGTGTTCAAAGCCCACTTTTGATAAGCTATGCCCTCCGCCGACCGGATCTTGCTCTTGATCGACTGCTGGTTAGCAGTATCGAGCGCTTGTCTGGTGCTGGTTGTGATTGCCAGCTGTTAACTACCAATATTTGCCTCCCCCACCGCTCTGATGCGAGACGGCTCCAGTGTTGGAGGTCGAGAGCTGCCCCAGGAGGCCACTGAGCTGGGCGTTATTGGCGTGTGCCTTGTTGAAGCTGCTGCCGCCGCCCGAGGCCGACCCCTGCCAACAAAGAACGCGAGTGCTACACACTGGGTGGTGGAACAGGATTAAGCACGGGACTCTATTTCATTACATCACATAAATAATGGACTGTACAATCTACCAATGCAGGCAGGGGCTTTTGTTCTACATGTCTAGTGAAACATCACGTCTTTCACAGCTTCTTCTCATTAGTGCTATGAAGTTGGAGTATAGCTTAAAAGCCTTGCAAGCCGGCTAACGGCACCTGTCAGCAACATTCCGTAATACTCACCCTAGCGTGGGAGCCCGTTCTGGTGACTGGAAGTTAGGCCTCCCGGGTGTATCGTCTGACCCCGAGACGACGTTGCCGGCGGCGGATCCCGTGGCCGGCCGGCCTCCTCCGAAAGAAGGCCTCCGAACTGATTGCTGACGGCTCCCGTTCCACCCAGCGACGCGCCGCCACCGACTCCTCCTCCTGCCCCGCCGAGCAGGACCATCCTCCAAAACCACCCGCCCCCCTAGGAGCCACCTCCGCCGCGGTGACCGCCGGCACCAGAGCCTCCGCCGCGGTGACC